GACTCTTTGGAAGTCGTGCAAACACGTTAGGACACAGCTAGTTGAGTAATCAAAAACACAGCTTACTTATACATACGTTCTGTTACATTGCATTACAAAGCTGCAGTATATATACATTACAGCTGCACTCATGAAATGATTCGCATAAAGAAACGTAAGCATCGACAAACAATGCAGCAAAGCAGGCCACAAAATAAGGATTCAAAATCATCTCCGTGTATTTAATTTATAAATGATTTCACTTAAAAACACACCTGAAATAGCGGAGATCTCGCGCAGCACAACAATCGCAGCGAGCAGATGCTGGATCTCTGAACGACTCTTTAACTGACTCGGGAATCACGACTCCCGAATGAATCATGAAGGAGTTGTTAAGAAAAGACTCGCGTGCGAATTAAAACGCCGTATTCCGTTTAAACAATATTGTAGTTTTTACGTTAACACTGCTATTTTAAGGCACCAAAAAAAACACAACGAAAATGTCTTAATGACTTGAGTTAAAAGATTTGTTCTTTTTACTGATTCGTTCATTTGAATCGATTCAAAATCATCTCCGTGTATTTAATTTATAAATGATTTCACTTAAAAACACACCTGAAATAGCGGAGATCTCGCGCAGCACAACAATCGCAGCGAGCAGATGCTGGATCTCTGAACGACTCTTTAACTGACTCGGGAATCACGACTCCCGAATGAATCATGAAGGAGTTGTTAAGAAAAGACTCGCGTGCGAATTAAAACGCCGTATTCCGTTTAAATAATATTGTAGTTTTTACGTTAACACTGCTATTTTAAGGCACCAAAAAAAACACAACGAAAATGTCTTAATGACTAAGTTAAAAGATTTGTTCTTTTTACTGATTCGTTCATTTGAATCAAATACACGCGAGAATCCTGAGTCACTCCAGCTGAGTGAAATTGATTCCACATCCTGCAGTTTAACTCTTTCCTTTCCATTCAGGGACAAACTATCAGTACAATGGACATTTATAAGGTGCAACAAAAACAAAGTATTGTAATGTGCTGATGTAAAAGCACCTTACAAGAGAAAGAAAGAAAGAAAATACTTTTTTATGTTAAATGAGTCCTTTAAAGCATCAATCTCTAAATAAACAACTCAGCAAACATGATAATTGAGAGCGTCAATTTATAAATTACTGTAAATATTTATAAATTGTTTTCTATGTTGGTGTTTTATATTGTTTAAATGTTCTTTCTACATTTAAACATTGTTTAAATCTAATATATGTAAAAACAATGAAAGGAATATTATCAATCTATCTTAATAGCAATCTATTTGAATATATACTCACTGTATGCAATCTGAATATCTGTCCACCAAATATATATCTGAATATCTATCAAATATTTATCAGAAAATATATCAATCCATCATCTGAATATGTATCCATCTGTATATCTATCCTTCTGTCTGAATATCTATCATCAAATATCATATCTATTTGAATATATCAATCTATCTGAATATTTACCCATCAAATATCTTTCTACCGATCTATCTTAATACCAATCTTTATGATAGATCTTGAGAACGAGCGCTTCTCTCAGAAGGAAACTGATTCATTTCCTAGCAGCTATAAGAAATGCATTATGCTGTATTGAAATGTGCCAAGGAGCACGTAAAGATCTACATTACACATCAAACAGCGGTTTACCTCCGGGGTGGCTCGCCAAAAACACCAGCAATGGATCTCAGGATCACAAACACATAAAAGCGCTCTCAAACAGCGCCAATGTTGACTGTAATTCTCATTTGTATCATAAACATGTTTAACGAGATGCGTGAATATCAAAGACAGAGACCAAGACAAACAAACACATTTGAGCTGTTTTATTCACTGATATTCATCCAGCAGCAGTAGCATGAGACTGTTTTCGTGTGTGTGTGTGTGTTAGATCTTGTTGAACGCCGCAACATCCACACTCTGAACCTGCAACACAAAACAAACACGTCAAGCTTTACGTGACATTTGAAGACTGAAGCGCACAGTTTATGGGAACGTTACTCACGTAGTCCTCAAACTTGGTGATCTCCTCCTCCAGGAAGTCTGTTCCCACCTTGTCGTCCTCCACCACACAGTTGATCTGCAGTTTCTTGATGCCGTAACCCACAGGAACCAGTTTGGAGGCTCCCCACAGCAACCCATCCACCTGCACCGACCGCACACACTCCTCCAGCTTTGCCATGTCGGTCTCGTCGTCCCACTGCGAACGCCAGGAAAAACGGTTTAAAAATCTTGAGAAGCCTGGCCAGAAATATTGATGCCATTTAAAGGGGTCATATGATGCGATTTCAAGTTTTCCTTTCTCTTTGGAGAGTTACAAGCTGTTCGTGAATAGATAAGATCCCTAAAGTTGCACGGACTAAAGTCTCAAATCCAAAGAGATATTCTTTATAAAAGTTAAGAGTCAGCCACACCCTCCTAAAACGCCTCATTTAAACACGCCTCCACATGTCTACGTCATTGTGTGGGAAGATTTGCATAACGCCGCCCAAATGTTCACGCAAAGAAAGAAGGTGTAACTTTATTGTTGTTGCCGCCGCCGTCATGTCGTGAAGACATGTTTCAGAAAGGCGGGGCATAGAGGAGAAACAATAATGTACAGTATGTGGAAAATAATGTGTTTTTTGAACCTTAAACCGCATAAACACATTTCATTACACCAAATACACAAAATAATGTTCTTTTTTAGCAACGTCATATGACCCCTTTAAAAGGTTTTAAGGTAATTCAGTCTATCAGACAAATGGATAGACTGTCATGCGGTTGCTAGGGTATTATGAATGGATGCTCTGTGATTGCAAAGGTGCTGTTAGGAAGTTCTGAGTGGTTGCTAGGTGGCTGATAGGACATTGTAAGGTGGTTACTGGGTGTTCTGTGTTGCTGTTGATTTATAGTGAGTACTGAACATTTGCTAAGGTTTTGCTACACGATTACTAGGGTGTCCTGGGTGGTTGCTAGGGGGTTATGGATGGTTGTTAGGGTGTTGCTAGGGGTTTTGGGTAGGTGCTAGAGAGTTGCTGGTGTATTCTGGATGTTGCTAGGGAATGTTCTAGGTCGTTGCTAGAACACTGCAAGATGGTTACTGGGTATTCTGTGTTGCTGTTAGAAAGTTGTTATGTGGTTGGTAGGGTGTTGTGAATGTTTGTTAAGGCTTTGCAATGCAATTGTTTTCTGGGTGGTTGCTGTGTTACTAGGGTGTCCTGGATTGTTGCTAGGAGGTTGCTAAGGTGTTTTATGTTGTTGCTATGTGTTACTGGGGTGTTCTGGGTGGTTTGGTTGGGCATTGCTGGGGGTTCTGATGGTTGCTAGGTGGTTGCTATGGTGCTCTAGATGGATGCTAGGTAGTTTCTCGATGTGTACTGGGTGGTTTAAATGAAAATGAGAAATATTGGCAACTAACCAAAATAAGCTACATTTGAAGTAAAAAAAAAAAAATTACTAAGAACTAAAACTGAAAAAGATAAAACTAAATGAAATAATAAAAGATTAAACTAAAATAAAAAATTACAACTCAAAATAAAAAAATAAACACCAATTCAAAATATTAATAATTAACATAATACTAAATTAACACTGGTTGCTGTTGTGTTCTAAGTGCTTGTTAGGGTGTTGCTATGCAGTTGCTAGGGTGTTCCAGGCTGCTATTAGGTTGTTTCTATGTGGTTGCTAGGGTAGTCCAGGTAGCTATTTGGTTGTTTCTATGTGGTTGCTATGCAGTTGCTAGGGTGTTCCAGGTAGCTGTCAAGTTGTCTCTATATGGTTTCTATGCGGCTGCTAGTGTGTTCTAGGTAGCCGTTAGACTGTTGCTATGTGATTGCTATGCGGTTACTAGGGTGTTCCAGGTAGCTATTTGGTTGTTTCTATGTGGTTGCTATGCAGTTACCAGGATGTTCTAGGTAGCAGTTAGGTTGTTTCTATGTGGTTTCTATGCGGCTGCTAGGGTGTTGTTCAGGTAGCTATTAGGTTGTTTCTATGTGGTTGCTATGCGGTTACTAGGGTGTTCAGGATGGTTGCCTGTTTTTCTGGGCAAAACATTTTAGAACTAGAACATTTAAGAATACTTCCAGGTCATGTGTCAACAAAATAAAAATACTTACCGGTTTGATGTCTAACAGGATGGATGATTTAGCGATGAGGGCTGGTTTTTTGGCCTTTTTGGCAGCATATTCCTGCAGCCGTTGCTCTTTCAGTCTCTCGGCCTCCTCGTCCACCTCTTCATCGCTGCCGAACAGGTCGATGTAATCCTCATCCTCATCTTCCTCCTCCTGTTTTGCTGGAGCGGGCGGGGCTTTCTGGGGAGAGGCAGGACCGGTGCCGTTAACGGTCGGTGCTGTCGACCGTTTCTCTAGCACTGACACGCGACTCTCCATCTTACTGAGAGCAGAACGCAGCTCCTCCACCACTGAGAAACACAACGAGAACAATTAAGCAAGTGCTTGCAGAAGATTAGGCAAAATGTAAATAAATGACAGCTCATATGCAAATATTATGACATCACCACCTACAGATGTCCAAGTAAATATTATGTTTTATTTCATATGAGGTTTGCTAGAACTAAATCTAATGCATGGGATTAAGAGAGATAAAGACAGAATAGATGCTTAATGCATGCAAACAAGGTTATTATCGTTAACCAAAACTAAAATTAAAAATAAATAAAATTCTTTTTTTAATAAAAAAAATTAAATAAACAAAATAGAAATATCAGATTTAATCAAATAAACTAAATAAATAAATTATGTAATGTAATTAAGTTGAAGCACTAAAATTAATTTGAAATAATAGACTAAAACTGAAATAAAAACAAATTAAACCTAAACAGTAATATTTAAAAAGAAAAAAATTACAAAAAAATAAACTAAAATTAAAATGAAAACTGAAAATAAAAGCTAACATTAATAATAACTATAATATTATATAAATAAAAAACTATAGTAGTTAAAAAAATTTAATATATATAAAAAAATAAATATA